ATATTAAAATCATAAATATGATGAAAATAGATTTTAAATAAATACTTTAAATAAAATTTATGTAACTATTAATTATTTAATGTATTTTTTAATGAAATATATGGTCCATATTCATTCTCTTATTTTTTTAAATACGTATTATTGTTGTATGAAACCAACTCTCTCTCTCTCTCTAATTAATGAAATATATGGTTCATATTCATTATTTTATTTGTCTACTTTTGTCTTGTCCAGTCCTAGTCGTACCAAACATCAGACAAACATTATTCTGTCTCGTCTAGTCTTGTCCAGCCCTACCCTATTGTTTTATCCAATCATATATGCATAGCAAACGCAACCTGAAGAAACTGGAATGAAATTTGACTATGGAACTTGACTATGTGTATAGTGTGGTGGTGTCGGTGTTAGGGGTGAGTGGGTGGGGTTACATTACGGTTGTGATGACGACAATAGTGGGATGGTGATAGATGAGTGGTGGGTGGGGGTGGATGAGTGGCAACTGACGACAAACAATAATGGTGTGGGGGTGACAATGGGGTTGGATGGACGGGGGCAACGACCAGTAGTGGCTTGGAGGTGGATGGGTAGGTGTGGTTATGTCAACAACTTAATGGTGGTGACAACAATGAAGGTTGGTTGGGATGGGCAGGGTGGAGAAATAATAATATCAATGGGCATGGTGGTGGTGGTGGTGGTGGTGGTGGTGGTTGTGGAGACGACTGTAGGGGTGGAGATGTTGGCGCACTGTAGGGGGTGGTGGTGTTGGACTGTTGGTTAAGTTTGATAAAAATGTTGTTTTTATCTTTTTAAAACCAAATTATAACATTTGCCACAAAATGAAATTCAAATCCTTCTCTTATGTCAAGAAATGATCAAATCCTTCAACCGTGAAATTCGACGTAATCTATTCATTTTAGTCCAGAAACCAAACATATCAAGAAATTTGCTCAAAAGAATTTGTCATTCCAATTCTGTCAAATTCCATAAACTAAACAACCCCTAATAGTAATATTCAGATATTTGATAATCATACTTTTTTTTATTAACCTGGATATCCAACCCCTTATACGAGCCGACTAATCCCAGGAGGACCACCTGCTTTGTAGATAGCCCGGAGTCACCGTATTTAAACCTCCGTGGCCACAAGGGATTTTTATTCCTTCTTGGACTTAAACCTGAGACCTTCTGATACTTTTTTTTTTTACTTTCCTATTCAAACCATTATATGTTTAGACAAAAGAACTAGTGATCTTTAATTAGTAATATTCAATAATGGATACGTTTATTTCATTTTTTTTATTTCTTAAAATATTGTATTTGACTAGAATGGAAATTTGGAATGTTGCAAGATTATTAATTTTTTAATTATTAAAACTAATACGTAATTAGAAAATTATGAAATTAAATATATACAGGAAATTAGTTACATGGATAATTATTAATTAAACACGGTTATTGTTGAACCATTCATACCCTTGAAGTTATAGTCAACAAAAAATACAACATAATTAATTATATACGAATAAAAATAATATAAAATTTATGTTGAATTGATATTTTCAAACTTATATAATATTTTATTTCATTCTAACAATTTATATTATTTTATAAGCGTAGAAATTTTTAGTTTGTGATGACAATTTATTGTAACACACACTCAGTGTAAAAGACGTACAGTTATTGGTCCTATAAACCTTAAAGTTTTATTTGGTTGTAGTGTACGGTGTTGGTTGCTTATTCTACATGAATTTAGGGGCCGTTTATCAAACTCATATCAGGTAACACTTACTCGACGTCACTCACCTTACCGGTGAACATAACAAGAACTGAGAATCTTACATAGTAAATGCTTAATAGGTGAAAGACCCTTACCACAATTCATTTTAATGACTGAAAATATTACTCGATAAGTTAAGTGA